GGGGGCCTGAGGTAAAAGAAAATCTGGGAGGGTTACACGGGGGCATGCCCCCTGTTTTTACCCATAATTTGATATTTTACAGTAGTTAGATTTGAAATTTTCCTGAAAATAATTGTGATTTGCGACAATTTTAGCAGCTTTATGTGTGATTTGCAACAATCAGTATTGCAGTCTGACCCCCGAAGCAGTGCATCTGTGTGTGGGAGTGAAAGTAAAAATTTACCAAACTAATAATTTGCGGCAGAAATAAAGTCGAAATTCCTTTAACACTTTGCCATCATATTTTGGAGAAAATCCAAGAAAACTGGGCGATAATCAGCGAGATGAGGCGGCAAAGTGTTAAAAGTTGATAAAACAAGAATAAAAACTACAATGCCTGACCATGAGACGAGAGTGAAAAAAACATAATAGGGCCTACCCAGAGTTGCTCCTTACACATGACAAAAGTAAAGGACTAGATCTAGATCTAAATAGAGGTAGATCTAGTAGTAAAATTAGATTCTAGTAGGTAAGGACTTCCGGAAACGAGCAACCACCCCAACAAACAATAAAGAATAGACCTACCCTAAACCTAAACCTAACCCAAACCCTTGCCTTCTATTTCTATTCTACTCTGTCTCGTAGTGGTCGCTCGTTACGGAAGTCCTCCCATAACATCACATAATAATTTAATAGGCTATAAAGTAACTAACAGACTAGATCTAGAATCTACATGGATTTCAGTTAGAATCTAGACTCTTGGCCTACTCTTTACTTTAGATCAATAATAAAATCTAAAATGGGGAAATTCGTCTCACAATAATTATGATATATATAAGATCTTGGCTGCAAGACAACTTGAGAGCCCTAAATCTTGATCTAATATCCTAGATCAAGTAAAGAAGAAATTGTAAGCCACAAAACAGTGATAGACCTAGATCTAGATCTAGATCTAGCCTAGCTTCCGACAGCACCGAGAGACCACCTGCCTCTCTTGTGCCCTCAACTTTCATTACTGCACCAGACCGAGTCAGTTAGGTATGACACCCAACACATCTTCCATCTCATTCCAGTTGTAGTCAACAACCAGCTCCATATCACTCAAAAAGAGTGTAGATTTTAAAGCGGAACTCGTTTGCAACTCATTAAGACTAAAGGCAATGGGACAGACAAATAATTCCAACTCAATGATTATCTCAGGGGAGAGTGGGATTTGACTGAGATTACGGGGGCAATGACAGTGCCTAGTCAAGTGTGTGAATGTGTGAAACGAGGGAGATTCTGCATGTCCATTGTCAGGTCAATGAATAGTACGGAGTTTGATTTTTTAATCAAAGACAAACTAGGCTACAAAAATAATAAAATAGACAGCAATGTTCATTGGGCACACTTGGGGGGAAACTTTATCTCTAAAAGTTCTTCAGCACACTCAAAGATTCAATAATTGCACTAAAATCAACAACACGGCTCTGGCGGATGTAACATTTTTATCCGTTCAAAAAGTCATGAATCGCGTCTTACCAATGCGAAGAGATTTGTGAGGCAGTCCTCCAAGGAGCAGCCGTTTCCAGTCGGGTTTGGGTGACTCATGGTCACTCCATGTTCTCCTTAGTCAGAAATATATCCAATTGAACATTTGATAGGTACACAATACAAAATCTCAAAAATTATCGCCCATCATCGAATTCTTCACATAATATGGCTGACTGTAATGGCGACTCGATGGGAACAACACAAGGCGGTAAGGAAAACTCCTTCTGATTGGTCAATTCCAGTCACATGCATGTTGACCTAGATTTAATTGTATCAACATGGCAGCCCAAGAAAATGGGATGCTGAACCATGATGATAAAACTCATTTTTCTCGTCCAGTGTAGTGCTAGTCCTATTGTATGCTTTAAATGATACAATGGCCAATTTCTGGTGGACCTTTGTGTACGTCGTCGTCGGGTTCTGGATCCTTAGCAGGTAGAAAACTCTCTGAAGTTCTGTGAAGTAGTCAGCTGACTTGGATTTGATAAGGAAGTTAATGGAAATCGAAAGTTGAAATTGCTGCTTCCAATGTCTCTCAGATTTACTGAGGTTATCTATAGGCCCACTTTTCTTTCGATTTAGATTCTTTGCGTCTTGACTCTATTTAAATTGCTTTTTTAAATTTCAATTACGCTTATTAACATAGTATTTCTCTACGCCCGTGGAACAAAAAGTATTAGGCTATCCCTGACTTCAACTTCAGTCCAGAGTGCCGAAATCAAATGATTCCACGCCCACCTCCTGCCCGACCCTGTCTGCCACACATCAGCATCATCCTTCTTTACTTTTCACCTTCATCTTTTGTCATTGTGTAATCAACGTGTTATGCCTACTGTTGTTGACCGATAAATTATTTGAAAGTAGCATTAGGAGAAGAAAAAACCCACTCAGTTCTTCCACTTTCTCAGCAGAATGAACTTTCAGTCAGAGGTAAAGATTCCAAAGAAGGGAAGGTTTACAATAGGTACACACTAATCTAGATTCTAGATCTACTAGATCTAGATCTGATTCTAGATTCTATCTGACTATTTAGTTCTAGAAGATCTAGATCTAGACCTAGTTTGGTTGGGCTAAGAAGGAGTCTGGTGAGATTCCAAAATCGAAGTGTATACAGACCCGGTAACCGGGAACAAAGTCACGAAGTATACAGACCCGGTAGGGGAACTCTTTTGTGATTTCGGGAAGTTTCAGCCCCCAGACCCGGTAGAAATCTAGTGTGTGTGTGTGTGAGAGAGAGAGGGAGAGAGAAAGAGAGGAGGGGGGGGGGGGTTGCTGGCAAAATGTATATATAATATATATTATATATATGACATGCCCCAGTTGGCAGGAGGGAAGGAGAGAAAGATAGAGTGGGAAATAGGTGGGGACAAAGAAAGACAGAAACAAACAAAGAGAAGGCGAGCGATACACAGAGGAGAGAGAAAAAGAGAGAGGGGGGGGGGGGGGACTGCTCGATTGAAATTATGATTATGACATTGTAACTTGTTCTTTTCTTCAAATTGTGATTCCTCCAACTCCAAAACGGAGGAAAAACGATCGTTCATCGAAAAGACATCCGCAATCTTCATTTAGATCGAGGCTAGCCACGAAACTAGATCAAAGATTTGAATCTGTCTGCCTAGATCTAGATCTAGACTATAGATCTAGAAGAACCTAGGTCTACCCTGAGCCAAGAGGGCGCTGAAACTCTCCGAAATCACAAAAGAGTTCCTTTACCAGGTCTGTATACTTTGTGACTTTGTTCCCGGTTACCGGGTCTGTATACACTCCCTTCCAAAATATCAAAATAGCCTAATTGATCAACGAATGAATATGAATAGCTTAGGCTTTGAGAGTAAGATTAATGGTGAACACTAGAGTCAGAGCTGTTCAACAAGTCTCTCTCACAGTGCTGTTGACTGTATTGCAGTAGTCTATTAGATTCTAGAGGTGCCTGTAGAAATCGTTTTAAGGTGACTTAGTATAGAGTATAGATCTACATGCCCACATGATTATGATCTCTCTCTATATATATGGATACTCCATTACTCCATTGCAAGCGTACTTTTTTTTTTTAACATTATAAATGTTAACACCATATGAAGGATGATACCCAAAAAAGACTTCACTTTTGACTGGGAGGTAGGGGAGGTGGCATTTACTTACTCCACCGGCGTCTGAAGGCATTAGTGAAACAAACAGTAGAATTAAGGCTTAATATACATACAGCAGGCTCAAATAGTGAAAAACCCTCATGTACCGCACCAGTTTAGAATGCTGAAGCCATGATAGAATTCTTTTTAATTTTAAAAAAGCCTTGACAGTCCAAGAGACATGCTTTAAAGATTCACAGAGGTTCTCATCAACAAAGAACAGCTATCATACTGGTAGAGTGACTTCCTTTGGTATGTATTTACAGTGCAGTGCATTCATTCGTTGTTTAATTTTATGTTATAATAGTGTTTAGTATAAAATGGCTCTGCTGTTTTTTAAATACATTATATATGGTATATAATATGATGTTGCTCTATTAGTGATTTGCGACTCAGAGTTATATTTTTATGCTCAGCCTAATCTAAAATTATGGTGAAAAATTGCAGAGAATAGTGCACAGCGAATAAAAGTACAAGTAGGCCTACTTTTTTTTCTCTTGAACCCTCAGCTAACATCTTGTTGGAAGGCTCTCTTTATGTCAAAATGAAATATAATGTGAGATAACATGGTGAAATCAGGCGCCCGTCAAAATATTGAAATCGAAGAAACGGGCATTTTTCTGTTGGTTTGCCAATTTTTGTCGCATTTTCGTTTTTTGGCTCAACACCTTTTATGTCCATGTAAAAACACATTTCCATGAGAATTTTATTAAAAAACATTGATTAAAGGCAAAAAAATGTGTGATTTTTCAGTTTTCAAAGACTTCAAGCATTTGAAGTTTCCACACTTTGGCGCCCATTTTCTCAGTAATTTTATCTATGAAACCAGGTGTTCCCTCCTCTTTCAATTGCTGATATTTCGACTTCTATTCAAGATAGATGGATATTTCTAAATCGAAGCAAAGCGAATGAATATAAGCTTTCAGATGATACCAATAACTCTACATTGCCAAAAACTGACGAGTGCCTGATTCCACCCCGTCGTGACACATACTCAGAATTCAATTCTCATTTTGACCTCTATACTATATGACAATATGATCTTCCATTCGAGATATCGATGTGCAAGAGGAAGTGTGTTTTTTATGTTGTTATTTTACCTTCTTTGTGTCGCAAATTCCCTCCATTTTAAAGAGTGTCTATGTGGTAGATGATGTATGGTATAACTTTGATTGTAAAATGCCCTGTCAACACAACTGAAACCATTTAGGAGGCAGGTTTTTCTTTGTGTGGATGTTTGTAAGTGTAAGAAGAGAGAGACTGAAGGGGAGAGAGAGAGAGAGAAAGTAATGCTACAACATGAAAAAGGGAGGGAGGGAGAGAGAGAGAGAGAGAGAGAGAGAGAGAGAGAGAGAGAGAGAGAGAAAGTAATGCTATGCTATGACATGAAAAAAAGAGAGAGTGTATTAGGAGGGGTATGTTTCACTTTGAGTTTTAACAGAATGTTGTTTAAAAATGGTTGTGAAAAATATAAAGAGCACTTACAACCACATTATATAATCATCATTAAATATTAATTTCATCATTACCATAATTATTGTTATTATCATATAATTAGTGTTATATGAAATTGTTATCAATTATTACTGCATGTACCCTCATGAACTGAATTATCAACTTTCTAATTAAATCTGTATCTTCTTGCACTACCTCCTCATCTTCCACCGCCTTCTCTTCCTTCTTCTTTTGTTCCCTTCTAGATCTTTGAGGAGTATGATTCTCGACATCATTACTGCAATTTTTTTTTCTTTTAACCTCATGCAGTTTCATACGTTGTGTAATAATTCATAAGTCTTGCTGCTCTTCCTATATTTTCATACTCATTCAAATACACAGCACCAGCGTCTGTAGTTTAATTGTTAGACACTTTGCCACCGCACGCAAGGGACCCGAGTCCAATTCCTGTGTGCAGAGAACATTTTTATAGAGTATCTTGGTTTTCTCATGAGTTGACCATGACAGGCAAGGTTGGAAGCTCAACTCCTAAATTATCAAAATTGTGTGGATTTGGACGTAAAAACACATGCATTAAAAAATAAATTCCACAGCTGTACGACCTTCTACCCCAGAACAGTCAGAACTATCTAGGACAGCCACCTATTGTTGAGGAGAAAAGTGGCCATCTTAGACAGGTGGCTGTCTTAGGCAGGACTGATAAAATTGAGGAAAACAAACCATTCCCTTCTGAGGCCCAAACCAGAGGCGGTCAAAGGCTTAGGACTGTCATATGGCCTATTTTTCTGGGTTTTCTGGGAGGGGGGGGGGTTGCTTAATTAAATCATGAAATTCTACCAAGTGTAACGTGTTTGGTGAAAATGACAAGAATGCTCATCTCACTTTCAGTTTAATTACTTATATATGTGTTTTGTTAAATTTAACTCACGCCCATCTGTCATTTAATGTAGATACATTGTATTTCTTATTTGTATATTTTTAACTCTCTTGACAATGACAAACGCTCACAAGCCGACTTTCTTTCTGTAAGTTTTAATTCTTCTATTACAGTCATAGACACCCATCCTTCTGCAAGAAGACATTGATTGTTTATGTTTGGGGATGCGGAGTGGGTTGTTGTTTTTTCAAATTATTGTTTTCATTTGTAAAAATGGGATGTGACTTGACAATAATATTAGCACTTCTTCGTGTGTTACTCTTGTGAGTTGGAAAGATGGAAACTGATGCCTTGAGACCTTGATTTCCATTGTACACTGACGTCAGTATACGCAATGGGTCTCATGAAATATTGTTTGCTTCTTTTTGTCGTCGTCCTCCTCCTCCTCCTCCCCATTCTTGCTGGTTCATTACCGCGATTTGTTCTGAATTTTCCCGGAACTGGTCAGTTTTCTTTTACTTTCGACTGCAAAGAGGATCTCTCTAAGTTTCTGTGAAGATTTAGTTCTCGATTCCATCTTCGGTCATCAATTGAACAACAAAGGCGGTAGACAAGGGTTGGATAGAGATTGGGGAGAAACCGTGGGCGGGGGGGGGGGGGGTGAGAGAAGGAGAGTGGGGAAAGGGGTGGGAGGATGCGAGGTGGAAAAAGGGAGAGAGACTGAAAGGGATTGAGAGATCGAAAAAGGGAGAGAGAGGGATTGAGACTATGGAATCTGAGGAAAAATCTAAGTTTAGCCTCAACCCATACCTGTACATGGCGAGTTTTGAACCAAGAGCTTGATAAGAGTTTAGCACCCGCCTATGAGCCAACCCAACTGCTCTTTATGTTCAACTTTGTCTTTGCATAGAGAGAAGAGTCTGGGGCTCTCGTTGAAGAAAGACTTCTCTATGTAGTTCATTCTTTGATTG